GATTTTGTTTACTGCAAATACTCTTTTATATATCCTGATGCTCAAAAGTAATATAAAGGCTGGATTTATTCTGAAAACATGGTCAGGAATTTCAAAACAGGCTTTGGTACACACAAACAAAGGCAGCATGGGAAACAAGAGCTTGTGAGTTACTTAAATGTCAAGGTTTACATTGTACAAGGTAAAACTGAAATGCAGCAGCAGGACTCAGTTTCATAAATGAAATGTCATTGCTGATGGCTACAAATTATATAAGAAAGATGGAAAGGGAAACTGAGGTGGCACTTTGTCAGATGCATTTATAGCTGCAGCAAGATACAGCTCAGCTGCAAAGTAGTAAAAAAATAAAGGAAATAAAGAAAAACTGAAGTGGACAGCTGCTACAGCATATTCCAGCAGTGAGAAAGCAGGCCTCTCTCAAGGTAGTCAGTCAAAGCCACAGGACACTATACTTATGGAGAATTTGGCTGCCCACATTTCTTTTTACTAGTACTGCCAAACACTGACCAAAGATGTTTCTGTGTTACACAGAAACCTGCTCTAATCCAGACAGTACAGGTTCCTGACAGATAAACAAGAAAAATCTCCTGAACCCAGGAACTGTAGCAGAGAAACTACAAGTGACACCAATGAACAAAGTACCTGAATGTAATGCAGTAAAGAGTTTATTTGTTTGACTTAGAAAAGGTTTCTGGCATAATTCACTGGACACGTATACATTAAATATACAAATGCACACCAAAAGAAACCCAGAAGGCACACATTCAGCCAAGAGACTCATTCTGAAACACTCGGCATTTCACCTCAGAGAGAAAGACTCCCAAGCCTCAGCTTTGTTACTTTCTGTCCAAAACCAGGACCACAACTGTAGGCCCCACAGTATGCTACACAGATCAGCAAACCTGGGCTGGCAAGCCAAAGAGTAAAAGAGGCAGAGAGCATGTAATACTCCTGGGGTTGTACAGGGTCAGGACACAGATGCCAAAGTGAGCTAATCTGGTTCTTTAAGATTGCAACAGAAGAACAAATGTCTCCCATCTTTCCTACCCTCTTGGAAGGTTAATGACTTGGTTACAACAGGGCAATGACATCTTGGTTACATTTTGGGCAAGGACCAATTGACCCTGTGCAGACAGGCTGAGGAAGTTGGGGTTGTTCAGCCTGGAGAAGTCTGCGTGCAGACCTCATAGCAACTTTTCAATATCTGAAGGGCCTACAAGGGAGCCAGAGAGGGACTCTGTGTTAGGAACTGCAGTGATAGGACAAGGGGTAATGGGTTCAAATTGAAGGACAGGAAGTTTAGGTTAAATATTAAAACAAAGTTTTTTCCTGTGAGGGTGGTGAGACACTGGCACAGGTTGCCCAGGGAGGTAGTGGATGCCCCAACCCAACCCAGCTGGATAAAGCCTTGAGCAACCTGATCTGGTGGGAAGACCAGACAGGGGGCTTGTGACTAGATGATATCTAAAATCCATTCCAACCCCTAAATTCTATGATTCTATGACTTGAAGACTGCTGTACCTTGAATCTCCACTAGCAGACCTCCAACAGAATTCCTAACCACTGCTCTTTGGCCTGCTGACCCCCAGCACCATCAACCACATCTGGAGAGCAAGAGAGGTTCATTTTACAGACCAGACAGGGGGCTTGTGACTAGATGATATCTAAAATCCATTCCAACCCCTAAATTCTATGATTCTATGACTTGAAGACTGCTGTACCTTGAATCTCCACTAGCAGACCTCCAACAGAATTCCTAACCACTGCTCTTTGGCCTGCTGACCCCCAGCACCATCAACCACATCTGGAGAGCAAGAGAGGTTCATTTTACAGGTCACAGCCTCAGGTTTCTAGCACTCATCAAGAACCACAATTAGTAAAACTAGTCAAAATAAATGTGGTCACCTCACCCAGACTCACATCTGTTGCCATAGGAGCAGCTAAGTAGTCCAAGTTCAGCTGATCTAATCTTCAGGGAAGAACGAGTTCCACCAGAGTCTGAAACATCCACTTTGGAACAACAAGGCTGCATGCATCCTCAGAGTCATGCTGAGTTTAAGGAGCAGATTCATCTCATGCAAAAGAGCAAGTCTGTTCTCTCAAATTAACTAATTAAGCTGTGCATGATAAGCCTAAGGAATTCTACTAGCCCCTGGAGTCAAGGCATGAGGCTGACATCCATGGAAAGAATTTAAAAACAAGTGAACACTGACTTTTCAGGAACTGGTGTGGCAACAAAGGAGAGAAATGAATGAGAGAATCTTTCTGAAAAGGAAATGCTGTTAGTGACAAGGTTAAAGCAAAGTGCTCTGACATCCAGCATAAAAAAAGAGAAAGTAAAAGGCAGGCAAGTGAAATCATCCTCTTGGACTATTTGTGAAACCACCCAAGATGAAGCAACAAAGACATAAATCCAAAGAGACAGAGGACTTCCTGGAAAACCTGACCATATGTATCAACATGGTACTAATTAGTTAACTAACCTATTGCACAAGGAAGCACCAGATGACAATGTTCTTATCAGAACAAAAAGTGAAAGAACATTGGCCTGATAAATTTATCACTGATCTCTGCTAACAAAGTGAATTAAATACAAAGAGAGAAAAAAAATTTCCCAAATGTCTGGAGAGTAAGGGAAGTATGGCAAAATCAAGACAATCCTACAAACATACGGTAAGTAGCTTTTGGCACATGAGCTGCACCCATGAAGTCAACAGGGTAACTCAGGTATTAAGTTCCTTCTACATCCAAGTGGTATTGTCATTTCCAACACCTTTCCCCCCCTCCCCTTACCAGGAACAATTTTATAACACACTGCTCATAACGTGAGCTAACAAATGCAGCTTGTTCCCAGAAGGCCACATAGAATATTATATAGAGTAGCAAGCATTTAACTCACTGAGAGAGGATGAGTATATTTAAGAGAGGGCACAATACCTTTGGTATTTTAGGGTCTCAATATATTCTGCAGTGTAAACAGAGTAAAACAGACCTGCTTGCCATTCAAGTTAAGTAAGCTTCCAGGAAAGGCAGTGAATCAATCATACAGTCAACCAATCAATCAATTGCATTTTATCATCAACTGCAGACAGCCCTTTGAGTGTAACAACCACTACTGCAATCCAGCACCTGGGAGAGTCTTTGGAACAGCCTTTTCTGTATTAGGAGTGCATCAATTGCTTTTGCTGTGAATTTGTTGTGCAGCGAAAAACCCAGATGGTTTCTCTAAACAAAAAGCAAGAAAGCTAAACTGGTGTTTTTCTGAGGTCTGAGTATTTTTTTGGCAAGTAGATATGTTAGTTTTCAGGCACCTCTTACAATTAGAATCTATTTTTCTTAGGTATCACAAGAGGGCTGATTAATGGCAGCAGAGTATGTAAATGGGATGGCAAGAAAGCAGAGTGGAATGTCAATCTGCACACTGTAGGAACAAAACCAATATGATTCTCCACTCTGCTAGTGAGTAGAACTGGAAAAGTGCTAGTGAACAAGAGCATAGGGGTGTCAGCCAGATCCCACATAATGAATAGTTACATGTACTGTGAACCTGCAACTTGGAAAAAGTGATGTCTGAGGACATATATGAAACAGGTCTGTAGAATCACAAGAAGACAAGAAGAATAGGGTGGGTCATCACCACGTCTGACAGTGAAAGAATTAGGGTCACTCAAGGAAATCAGGAAATCATCAAGAAAACCATTAAAACAGCCTGACAACAGTTCTTTTGAACTCAGGGTTTGTTACTACAGAACACTGTGGTGGGCAAAAGTAGAAAAGGCTTTTTAGAAAGAGACCAAGTGCATTCATTAAGGCCAGGTCCAGAAGGAACTGCCAGTTCAGAAACTCCATAGACTGCTGGAATGGTGTCAGAAAGACCTCTGTAAACCAGCTTTGTATTTCATGCTTCTGTGCTCACCTGTTACTGGCTATTCTCAGAGACAGGATAGCAGATGAGATGTCCTTTGGTCTGATTGCACACAATGCTTCTTATGGATCAAAGCTCTCAGTTTTAGCATGACTTAGAGTTTGGAAATGTTAACTTAAAAAAAATAACAAACCAGCAGGACATCTGAAAAGCTTACGTGTCTCCTCTGCTTTCTCTTTCACCCCTCAAAGATGTGCTCATTAATCACTCAGTTTCCATGAATGGTAAAGTATTGCTGAATAAGCAACAAACAGGATTTTTTAACAGCCACTGAAGTATGCATTATTGCTTTCAGATCCTGCCCAGTCCCCCTTATAAGACATTTCTCCTGACCTCAACTGCAGGTTAAACATCATCTTATAGATGATGTTTAACCTGCATTTTTCTCTCTTTACTACATTCCATTTTTCTCTCTTTACTACATTCTTGCTAAATTACTTTGTTCAACTGCTGTATTTATGACATGAAACAGTTCAGATACTAATCTGTTGGCATCTGTTAGCTAAACCCTTCTCCCAGACCACTCGTTTCTGCATGGGTAAGTGACAACAGGAATCTACAGGAAGACTCCTTGTGGACAAAGGATGGCTATGCTGTCTGTAAACATTCTTATTTCACCCAGAATTTGCCACTTCGATTGGATTTAGCCTTCCAGCCGGTCAGACCAATATGTTTTTGCAGTGCAGTAGAGTAAACATTGCAACACAGTGATTCCTAGTCTGTAGCTAGACAGACTGAAGTAGCAGCACAAGTAAGTCAGAAAATCTCCTGCATTTATCTGGACACAGAGCAAGCTCTGAGACCAGTTATCACAGTTGGTTTTATATATAAAATATGTGTGCACACATACATACGGACTAATACATTCATCACTGACCCTCATTTAAGGGACCAGCCATCCAAAGTCTATGCTTCACCCAGTAAATGCACTTTAACTGTGGGTGCCAGGTGCATCCAGGACTGTGCAGTGGATTTGTAAACCACTGCATGAGGATATGGCTGTAGGTTCAAAATCAATCAAGAAGTTACTGTTCCAGCTTGTTCAGTCTTCAGTTCTCCAGACAATCCTTCCCAATCAAGATAACACACAGGTAGACTGTTTGTTTTTTTCACTCATAGTGGAGTTTGGATTCAGGTTACCTAGAATGAAAAGAAGGTAAAGTAATGTTAGTGTTAAGTAAATAAGACCTGGATAAAGTTTGGACTCACACTTCAGTCCTCTCTCATTATTTACTATACACCTTGTGTTAGACCTACATTACTCTGCACTCTCTCATGGCTTTATTTTCTACTGCAGCAAAGTAAAGAGGCATTAAAATTAGAGCAAATGCAGAGCATTCTGTGGAGAAAACCATTGGAGAAGTATTTCTAGGATTTGGCTTGTACCCAGGCCAGCTTCAGTGCTATACTCAGGTCCCAGTTGGCACTAAAAAACAGTCTGGCCATGACTTGCGTGGAAGGTTTTCCAAAAAGTGAGGTGTGGAAAAAACCTCAAAAAACCAAGTCAGGTCATCTCATCCATTTGATACCCACACACATTCTCAGGAGAGGTTTTTTTCACATCTTGTTTTAAACATCTCAAGTGCCAGTATTTCCACCATTGTCTTTGCAAGAAAAATCCCAAGGCCTCAGGGTCTCTCACTTAAGTAGCACAGTATGCTGCCCCTATTTTTTATAATCTTAGTTTTTTTCACTGCTTACTCTGTGAATTTCTTCTGCTCCTAGTATCTGTACTTTTCAATGCTTGCACTTCTGTCTGGTCCCCTTCATTACAAACAGATGTCGGTCAGTATGCCCAACAATTTATTTTAAAGTACTAAAGTGTGTTCAGAGGCTTTTGCAAGTAAGGGAGCTCATCTGTGCTCTTAGCTCAGCAAAGCTTATATGACCTATAGCCCAGGGCAGAAGGGGCTGCCATGTGGCTTGCAATCACTGAACAAGGGCTGACCCCACCTATGTATTTGTACAGAAGGAAAGTATATGTGCATCTCCCAAACAGCTGGAGCCAGATGCTAGTTCAGAGTGAGAACAGGGAGGAAGAAGTGCCACAGGTCATGGTGACATGCTGCTGAGAAGTCACAGCCTTGCTTAGATGAGGGAACATTCAACCCAAGTACTGCCTCTGGATTGGGCTTCAAGTGAATAATTTTTAATGTCACTCTTTTGCTTGTGGGTATTTGATCGATGTTGTCCTTACCTGTAGGTGATAGAGTTCTCTTCCCCTCCTTCTTGCCACTTTCTTCTATACTGCATCTTCTTGATATTCATATGGGAGGTTGCACTGAAACCTGCCCTCACTTCTGTGGCTGCTCTGTAGGCTACTGCCCCCTCCTCACATCTCCCCGGGGCATTTCATGCTACCTGTCCCTCCTCTCAGCCATTCTGTGTGTCACTACTGAGTTTATCATTAGTCCTGTCCCCTCACCACACCTGTTCCCCTCTCTGTCTGTATCACATTCAAGGCCTTCACATTTACTTTCAAAAGGTGTCTATGCTCCTTTGCTTAACCGCAAGTCCCAACTCCTTTATTCTTCTCACTTTCTACTCTTGTCTTCTGACCTTTTTCTACAGTTAGAGCAAACACCCTCCTTGTATGTACCCAACAATGTTCCCCTCTTTCTCTTTAGAAAAGAGGCTGAAAATTCCAGTTACCACCCCTTTGGCTGAAAAGTCCTGGTGGCAACCAAGCAGCTATTTCAGTGGTATTGCAGTGCCAGTGTAAAACCTATTTCTTGTTGCAAGAGGCACCCAAAAGTGAAAGACAAAATCCTGCTATTAAGTATATGTGTTCTGCAACCATCAGAAGGCCAATGTATGGAGCAGCTCAGGAGCAGACCCTTCTGAAAAAGCACACTTTGCTTCTTCTGAGGGAGAACACAAAACAAAAAGACAGTGCCTTCCAAAGGCACACAGCTTCCAAACCCTTGCAGTATTTCCCAGGAACTGCACACAGATGTGTGTCTTTGCTGATCACAGTCTACCCAGCACCAGCTTCAAATTAACACGATTCTGGTCAAGTTCAGAGCTGTTCTTGCCTTCCTAAGTGGGCAACAGTGAAATTCAAGAGTTCTGTCTATTTGATGATGTGGTTTAAGAAAGCCTTGTAAGACAAAGCACTGTGTCGTCCATGCAATGTGCTAGGACAACACCTTAGGGTGTTAATTCAGATAGTTAGTTTGGGACATTGCTATCTGTAGCTCTTGTATTTCCAGACTCCCAATCCTGACTTGTAGGTATCCTTTTCTAGCATGTAAGTACTGAGTCAGATTTTCAGACTCCATCACTGTACACACTTTCATCACTTCCCAGTCCAGATTCTCTTCATCACTATTTGCTCCTACAAGATAGAATCTGACCTTTAGCCTGCTGGAATAATGTCTTTCAATTACTCTGTAAGCTACTTGGGGTGTGGATCTGGTCTCTCTATGCATTTGCAACGTGGGATGTGTCTCTGTGGTACAACGGGATTAATAGTGTCTTTGGAGGATGTGTGCACAGACAGGTCCACAGGGCTTAAGTGTGCTGTTTAATCTTTACAAAAGGTAAGGGCAGCTATTTCAAACTGTGAAGCTCTGCACAATTGCATCCTAACCTGCCTGCATATCAAGTACCTTCTCTTTCATTTCCACTTCTTGCCTCCCATCACCCAGAGCATCACAGCATCAGTTTTAACTAGCCCTGCTCAAAGATAACTTAAACTTTTCAAACTAAGTCAGCCCTAAAGTTACCTAAGAACAAAATGCATCCTGTCATTATCTTGAAACTGGAACTCTATTCCATGTTCAAAATTTTTTATTAAATCCTAATGATGCATGGGCTACTGATCAAGTAGCTGCAGGATCATCTGGGTAACTAATTTTTTTCCCTCTTCCTCATGAGTCTCTTCCTAATATGCCCTGTATCATCTCTATTCATGTACCACTTTGGGAGCATTAAACTAGAGGAGCTTTCTCTCAAGAACAGTGATTCAGTTCAAAAGCAGCACACAAGCAGTGATCTTCCTCCAGCCTTTTACGACACCAGATGACCAAAGTCTACTTACACCATACTTCTAAAGCTGTGGAGTCTCCCATTGTCACCATGAACAGGCATTCTCAATTTGCATAAACCAAAAATGCTTGTAAGGACTCATTGGAAAGATTTATCAGGTCAGAAAGAGCACAGGGCTAAGGCTGGTGCGATAGACCTCTGCACCTTCCCTCGATCCTTCCTTCTCCTTTATTGGAAGAGGTGGCAGCCCTCAGGAAGTAGCAGTAGCAGTAAATAAAACCTGAGCATAATAGCACAATAGTGTCTTTGTGGAAATGGTCTAGACCAAGCATCAGAGGAAATGGTGGAAATGGTCTAGACCAAGCATCAGATTGTCTGGCACAGATCCACTGTGTTAAAAGCAACAGGGACAACCCTGCTGCCCTGACTGTGCAATGCCCCAGAAGGGCACAGTGCTCCACTGTTCAACTAGAGACATCAATCTACTCCTTGCCTTAATCTGGGCCTATTTTCATCACAACGTTGCGGGAATGGTCTGCTTTAAAACAGCTGATAGAGAAACGCAGGGAATCACTGATACTGTAAAGTGCTGACAAACCAGAGATTACACAGTTCTCTACTTCTGTCACTAGAGGGTAGTGCAAGCCCTCAGGTCCGTCCTCCAAGAGGAAATGCCCATTTATCTCTCTATAGATCTTCACCGATTTTCGCTTTCCTGTCTTGAAGGAATGTGGCCCACCAGCACATACTGTCTGTGCCGAAGACAAAGTAATTTGGAGAGAGCACCTCTTTTGGATCAGGGATTACTTCTGCCTTTCCAAATGCCAAACATGCGTTCTGAAATGGGTCTCCTCTACTCTTACATAAATTATCCATGCCTTCTTACAGTTCCTCTCTCTCGTGTTCATTTGACATTTTCAAGTCTGTCCTTCATTCAGCCAGAAAAATTTCTAAGAACCTAATCAATCACTATTGTTGACCTTCCCAGTACCCTGCTTTTCTTTTTGGTCTCAAGAGAATGTCTTTCCATTTCACATCATGGTAGTTTCTCTCTTTACGCCCGCATTTTGCATTCATCAGAGCACAGAATGGTCTCTGGCCAGACAAGCTGGGGAGAAATTTTCTCCTAAGAACCTATATCATTTTCCTGCTGGTGCAGGATGTATTGACACCCAGCACAGTTCACTGAGAGGATGACAATCAGGCTGAATAGTCCATAGATTTACTTCAATCTCACAAACATGTAAAATGTTGGGGAGTTAGCTATGAACCCATAAATTGGGAGAAATATTTATCATTTGTGTCTTCATCTGATTGAAGCCTTGGAAGGACAATATCATGTGTTATCAAAGACGGAAAAATTGAGATCTAGTGATCTACTTCTTTGCAGATCTATTTTCATGACCTCCCCCACTTCAGAAGGTGATAAAGGAGACAATTAAACACCTGCACTCTTTCATCCCTCCTTGTCCTCTCACCTCAACATAAACACGTTTTTCTCTCTTCTCCACCAGTAGCTTACCACAGTAAATGTACCCAACTAAGCCCTAATGAGGAAAAGAGGAGTTACACCAAAAATCTGCCTGTGCCTTGTTAGCCACTACAATAGTGAATGTACTGCTGCTGTTTATTAGGGAAATGCACTTCATGGACTGTATACAAAACCTGTTCTACACAAGGAGACATTTGCCTCTCTCTCCCTTTGTACCATACCTGCTTGCTGAGAAGTATGAGAAACATCTACATGAGAAGTACCAGCTTTACAATAAGACTGCCATTAAATTGCCTTCAACTTAAATTGTCTGTATCATTTAATACAATTTCTACTCTTTTTTGAACTGTCTCATTTTAATACAGAGGAAATAGCAGGATCTACTCACGGGTGCCTATATTGAGTATGTTTGCATCAATCAGCCAAACTCAGAACAAAGGACACAGAAAGCAGAGTTATGCTGGTAAAAGCTTTTACCTGAGATGCCTCCAGTGCTCCGAACACTGGCATGGCCAACGCTGAGCCGCTCGTATTCCACTTTCATGTTCCCAAGGTCTTCTCCTGAATGTCCTTCGCTGGCAAAAGAATTGGCCTCAATACTTGAGCCTGGAGACCGTTTGGCCTTGCGACTGAAAAGGCCACTGGCAAACCGTTTCCCTTGCTTTGAGTTGGTCTGTGCATCTTCTTTCTTCACATCACGAATAGACTCTCTGGATTTGGATTTATTTTTCAGGTCCACGTGGAGCCGGGAAAAAAGTTTCTGAGGGCTCCGATTCTGCTTGTTCAAGTTCTCCAGAGGTGGATCTATTTCTGGGAACACTTGCTCCAATGTGACTAAGTCATTCAGAAACTGATTTAACCGTTTCTTTGACTCACTTGTTTCCTCCTTTTCCATATTTCCCTGATTATCTTGCGTGTGTCGTGAAGCCCAGAGCATCATATCACCACGGGTTGCCCCTGCTACTAAACCATACTTGGGGTTAATGAACTTCCGAGCCACGGTGGAGGAATGAAGGCCTGGCTTCCCGATTCCAAGATGGAATGGGTTAGCAATACCCAGTTCCTTATATAAATTAACTTCCTCTGAGATGGCATAGAGCTCACGAAACTCAATGTCAAACATCTCCACGTGCTGTCCTGTCAAGACTAGCAGGATGTTTCTGTCAATGTGGGATGAACTCCATGTGAAGCTAAGAGTAGGAAACAGAGCCAACATTAGATTTTTGTGTGCATACTTGACCCTGCCCACCTAATAATACCTAATACATGGGAATATGTAGCATTTTGCCATTTGTCATATATCCTTACCAAGATGGGTCACAATAGATACATGAAGCTCTTTATTATTGTTCTTCTGTTCGCATACAGATCAGATCTGGAAGGAAAGGCCCTAAAATTCTGAAGTACAGTTTACTCTTTAAAAAGGCAACAGTGCATTGACAGGAGGTGTCTCCGGACTGATAACCCCACTGAAGTGAACTGAGCACAGTGACTAGTGGAGAGTCCTTGCAGACACCCACTTGATGCAGTGTGGAACTGTCTCTAGCCCACCAAAATGACCTGCTAGCATAAGTATGTTCCATTCCCTCAGAAGCAGTTTGGGCTCTAGTCCACCTTCTCTGTTGTCCCACTCCAGTTTCTGCAGATGCCACACAGATTACAGAGACTGGGATAAGAAAGGGGATGACATGGGAAGAAGACTCTCAAGCAAAGCCATGAGCCATTCTTTACACAAATGCCTTAATGCCTTAAGCAAGGATGACCTACCTGTATGATCCAGTGGCCACCTTCTCACCATCCACCATCAGGAATCGGGATCCCAATGTGCCTTTGATCTTCCCTGATGGCATGTAGAACCCAACTCCTGTCACAGAACGTATGCGGATATTCTAACAGGGAGGTGAAAAGACAAAATGTCACAATAAGTAGGGCAGAGAATTAGATAATTGCCAGCTCCAAGTCTTAACATGTCACTCACATTATCTTACCACTTCTGGGACTACAGCTCATTTTGTCTCAGCCACCAGAAGGGCTGCAGAAAGGAAAGCAAAGTGCCGTAAGACCTATTGTCATCTCCTGTCTGTGCAAGTCTCTCCCCTCCATCAATTTATAGCCCTGTCCAATGGGTGAGCATCTTCATAACCCTGCCTGCTGTTTTCAGCTATTCAGCTGAGCCCACTGGCAAGACAATGCTGTCAAAACCAAGTAATCTTTCATCCCCAGTCCTGTGCTATAGTTCAGAAGGCTCAGCCCAGTTCAGAGGAATGAATCAGAGAAAGCTCTGAGTCACACCTGCACCCTCTGACTCCTGATCCCTGTTCTGTAGCACTCGTGAGCTCTTCTCCAGATTATGTTATCAGGACCACAAAACCAAGGAACTTTGCAACACCTGTGCAGCGCAAAGGACACAGTTACTTGGAAGGTAATGTATGAGGCAGGTGTGCATTAGGCTCTTTTTATGCTTGTGTTCCAATTCCCAACAACACATTGCTTGAAAAAAACAGGCAAATTAGAAGACAGGACAACTGGATTATTATAGAAGAGAGGAGGAACCAATTCCATTACTCAGAAGGTAAATGTTTCCTGACATTACAACATACAGAGAATCTTGACCTTTATAATTTTGCTAAGAAGCCCAAATAGTTACAGTGACCACTCAGCTCCCTTGTTGTTGAACAGAGAATGAAAAACACAGTACTTTTTTTGAACCAAAGGAGTAGGATAAGTGTCTCTACCAATGTCCTGAATAGATCAGCAAAGAAGAATTTCTGAAGAAGAGGAAGGAAAAGCTTTTCATTAAATGAATGGAAGTAGTTAGAAAACGAATACCTCTCCACAAACCTCATGTTTCATACCCGTTGCCAGCAATCCTACAAACAATAAAACAAAGCACTACCAAACACAGAAACCCCACAAAGCTAAGGTTATATGATTTTCAATAATAGATGTGTGTCTGCACTCACTGTAAGGATATATGTGCACATTGGACTGAGTGCTATTCTGCTCATGGGTCATGGCAGCATTAGGCTGAATTGCTGTCTAACTTGGAAAAATACAGACACACAGACACACACACACCACACCACACACCAGACACAGACACAGACACACACACACACAAACCCTCCCCAACCTCCAAACCCCAAACCATTGATTGTCAGTATGTTTGAAGTAAATTATCTTGTCACTTTGACACACAAATCTAGACAATTTTCTTCACTGCACCATCTGTTTCTTTAAGGATTCTCTAACAATGAAAAGCTAGAATGTACCATGAACTGGAGTCATAAATCCAGGGTGGGGAGTCAGATAGTCCCAAGTGTCCTCCCCAACCTCCAAACCCCAAACCATTGATTGTCAGTATGTTTGAAGTAAATTATCTTGTCACTTTGACACACAAATCTAGACAATTTTCTTCACTGCACCATCTGTTTCTTTAAGGATTCTCTAACAATGAAAAGCTAGAATGTACCATGAACTGGAGTCATAAATCCAGGGTGGGGAGTCAGATAGTCCCAAGTGTAATTGCAGTTCTAACACTATTCCCTGTGATGGTCTGGAAAAGTCAATTCACCTTTGCCTCATTCTTCCTCCATCTGCAGAGCAGAAGAACCAGGAGGATTTGGCTAATGCTAGCACAGCCTCAGATCCCACAAAGAGCTAAGTCCTATTATTATAAACCTCACTGACAGCTTAAATATTGATAGGCTATAGAAATCAGCATGCAGGAGAGAGTGATTATAAGAACGCAGATTTCTTTCCAAAACCATTTTTCGAATATAACCCTTCCCTCTTGAATCTGCTCCTCTTTCTCCCACTAAAATACAGCAGTGGCAATACAAATTCTGACTAACAGTAACTGATAATACTACTATTTTGTATTCATCTATTGCTTGATCTGTCTGGAGTCCTGTGTGGGCATTAGCTAATTAATGCTCCCAAAACTGCTGAAAGTATTATTACCCTGTTTTAAAGATGAGGAGCCGAAGAGAGAAAAAGATGAAGTGAGTTGCCCAAGGCCTAGCAGTGAGTCATATGTGTGGGATGCTGAATGCAGGTTGGATAGAGCACAGGAGAAAGAGTGCCCTTTCCAGTAGTTAGAATAACATTTGTAGTTGGCTGGCTGATCACCTGAAATAATTTTTTGCCTTACTGATTAATGTTGGATGTGGGATTTGCCAAATCATGGAATATTGACTGCAAGTGACAAGAAGAACCTTGTTCTTCAAATCAGTCAACAGTTCTGACATATGTACCTTTGTCAATCAAGAAGTATCAGCCTGCCTGAGCAGAACGTTTCCTAGCATGTAGCAAGTATGGATTTTATTATGTTTGTATGTTCTGTCACCTTCTATTTGTGGAAAGAAAGCACACTTGAATTTCTGTAATTGAGCTGTACATAATACTTAGAAAGGCACAGAGGGGATAGAACTGAACAGCTGAACACATAAACCTCATTGAACAAAGGAGGTACAGGAGTGCATAAATACATCTTGAAATGCAGAAAACAAGCAAAAAGTCATATAAACATTGAGTCACTTAGCAGGTTATTTGTACGATGTTTTCTGCCTTGAAGGATCTTGGAGCATTTGTAGACTGCTATATCAAGCTGTACTGAGGAAGAACAAGCCTGGGTTCATGTACTGAAGACTGCACAATGAAAAAAAAGAGGAAAGACAAATACCTATGAGCTGAGACTGCAGAGCTTTTTTGGGCACTAGTGCTACAGTAGTAACAAATATTTTGGGTAGAGGACCAGTTAGTTCACCAGATAGAAGTGATCCCTCCAGATCTGTATTGTTGCAGAAGTCTCCTTAAGGTTTATTTTGTCACATTCTGGCTTGTGGAAGCTGCAGTCAGCATTAAATTGCCATATTTCCTTTACAGACTTGCACCACTCCTTATCACAAGCAGTGACCAACATCTCCCTGGCAACAACTTAATATGGACTGGTAACAGTCAAGCCTGACAGAGCATCCTAATACAAACAGTGAAGGAGTTAGTCTTTCTTGCTTTATTGTGACACACTTTCAAACCCCACCCTGAATCCACAGAAAGTTAAATTAGACACAGTTTAGAAAGTCAATAATAGGTTGTGCTGTGACCGACATTTAGTTGCCACTTGACAGGCCTAGGCAGTAGTGCTCACAAACTGGGGCTGAATAGGGAAGATACACAAGACAAACCCTAAAGGATCATGTTGTAAGTGCTTCCACCAGGGAATCCTGTGTGTACTTTCTCTCAGAACATCTACTGATATATACCTATAGATATAGGTATAGATTGCAATGCAGCCAGGGATTTTTATTTCAAATTGGGATGGATGGCACAAATGACCTCTATAAATTAACAGATGTAAAACAGGTTAAGGAGACGCAACAGATGCAGCAGTTGATAGATGACGGTGACAATGTCCCTTACATTGACTGTGTTTCAAGATGTGGAGATCCCCTTTCTGCTGTCCCTGGGAAATTCGGATCCCTTTAGTCAATCTATTGGGATAGCTCCTATCCTTTGTTTTCTTGTACCAGTGCTTCACCTGAGCACAGGGCTGAGGAGAAGGGACCAGATGCCCATTATTTCCTGCTTTCAATCCTAGATGGAGCTACCACAGGAGAATGAGAGACATGGGAATCGTACGGACAGGACCACAGTAACAGCAGTAAAGGGTTTTTTTCTTATTCATGGTCTGCAAGATTCTCATTTCAGGGATGATCAGACGTCCAGGTCAGAGCGATGGGTGACAGCAGCTCATCTTACCCAGGGATACAAAAGCAACCACAATCTGGAAGCAGACATCAAGTACTGCTGGGAAACACTGTGGACTTATCCGATGTGTTTGCTCTGAACGGTTTTGGAAAATGCTTATTGACTCAATAGTGTAACTTGCAAGTATTCAAGTAGAAGAGGATGGAATGCAGCTAGCTGGGGCCTGGCCTGCCACGATCAATACTGGTTATTATTTATTTGTGTCTGTGTAAGCTCCCATTTTCAGGAGGTCACAAGGGACCTGGAAGAATTCTCTAACAGATAATTAAAAAACCAACAGCACTGCATCACATCACATTCAGCTTCTCCCTCATCTGAGCCAGCAATTGCTGAGGAAAGGCATGAAATACTGAAGTGAAATTAGAAATGTTTCTTAGGCAGAAACTTTTCAGACTTCCTGGAGGGAAGAAACTCTCTACATGTTGGGAAAATGAATGTAAAAATTAACATACAGGCGAACTTCCTGCAGGTAAGTCATTGCTTGGAACTCTAGGGGAACTCCCTGAGCAGGAGTGTCTGTTACTAGGTTGACAGAAACATGGGGAGAAAAAGCACTTATCTAAAAACTGGTGACAACATTCACCCTCAGGCCAAAAAAAAAAAAAAAAGAGGAATTTTTTGAGGGGCTATGAATTTTGTATTGTGAGAACTTTGACTCACTGTGGTCTCTGAAGAACACTCCTGTGTCAAACGTAACAGAAGTCTGGCAAACCATGTCCTGTAGGCTCAGGAAGCCACATGACTCATACACACAAGACATGCTCTTACTAACATCCCATGAATGTGCCGATGGTTGAATTTAAATGCATTTCCAGTGAACTCTGGCCTTCAGACAAAAATTGAGGTTTTCTCATTTCATGCTTGGAGCTGGTGAAGAACTTTAACACTTTGCAGGGTGTGGTCTTCCTACAGCAGTTACCCTCCTGCAAGACTGTCAGCAGATCATGATACCTTCCCATCTCACAATAACACAATAGCCAGGAATGTTGTCAAAATGCCCAGCACTGTACATAGACAAAGGGCAAAATCCAGTGTTAACAGTAAATCTCCCTGTATTAAGACCACTGAAGTATTCACTCTGAATTGGATGAATCGGAACCACAAGAGCAGGAATCACAGAACAATATGACTATCTGGTGGTGACAGAAGACAGAATAAGCATCCTGACCCTGCAGCAATGACAGCTCAATGTAGCGTGTCATCTCTCTCCCCCTGGGATCAGAACTTGCCTCTACACCTTAAAGTTATATCCCACATGGCTGCAACTTTGTGAGAAAAAAAACCTAAACATCCTCTGTGTCTTGCACAAGCATTCCAAAGGAAGGGTGGGAAGGAAAGGAAAGATGAGTATGCAATTTCTTTACTGGCAAACTGTGTATCACTGTTGAAAATCTTTTAGAAGAAAGCAAAATGATGACACAAAAAGTGTAAGGAGATAATGTCTTCCCTGTTGCTGAAAATCTGTAGAAAAAACTCAGATATCAAAGCAGATGTCAGGAGAAAGGCATGTCATAGATAAGAAATGGGTGAATGATAGAGTTAACTGCACTAGAGTTTCTCATTCTTTCTCAGCAATTCCAACATCCTCTGTGATCAAACAATGCAGGACAAAATGATTCTGCCTGAACAAGACCAGAGGCCCAGATTGCTGCTTTGCTTTAGATCTGTGTTTTCAACCCTCAGCATGCTACATCAATGAGGTAGGGTGGGGAAAGTACTCAAAGGAGAGCCTTAACCTTGCTTCCTTAAGTATCTAAAGTTTGTTGTCAGGAGACTTACTATATGATGGTTTCTGCTATACTGACCCAAGGAGCAGCATAGGTACATCCAAGACAGCTGTGGGCAGGATACTAAGAGAGCATCTTCATTGAGAGGCAAATGATCTGTTTCCCCATTCCAGCAAGAATCTTCACAGTCCTTCCATAGTACTGTATGCAGGAATTAACTGCATTGACCTTAACAAGATTAACAAAAACTGTAGCCATAGTGAAAAAGGAACATAACAGCCTTAAGGGGAATTTAAGATGCAATATGAGATAACTGGGAAAAGAGGGGAGAAAGCTGAAGGACAGCACTCTGCAGGCTGGAGCGGAAAAGTGAACAACTAGGTCAAAGAATGTTAAAAAGTTCCTCTCAGTGGACCTCTTCCTCGGTTGAATGACAAGGGCTGCTGTGAGAGAACGGAACCACAGAAGGGACACAAGAAGAGCTTTCTCCTGCTCTTGATGCCATTAGTTCGAACTCTACCTTTTTGGAAAGGGTCATACAACTAGACTGATGGAGGACCTAGGCACTGCTGTAGCATGTCACTGTGATGATTGGTTTAGGAGTGTAGTCTGGGCAGATACCTGAGGGAAAGGAGGTAAGAAGAAGAGCAGAAGGGGACTGCTTACAGTTTAAAGACAGAGAAGACAGGCCAAAAGGAATTCACCTCTCCAATAGCATTACAACTTTTTCTAAAATGCCAGGGCATCTTTCCATTCACTCTATCCAGGAGTTAAAATATGCAATATGGAAGACATCGTTCCTGCACATAATGACACGGTGAGAAAAGTACCAGGAAACAGGTACCAGAGCAAATGGAACTACTGCTGTGATTTTATAGTTATGTACCAAAGAGACTCAAGCCTAGGCCGCAGAATACCCCTGACACTTGAAACAGGTCTGTTATAATGATATCTGTGTCTTGCTTTCAAAGACACCAGAGGAAAGAAACTTCCATCTCTGTTTTGTAGAAAGATGAGAAAGCTTCTCGGCTGGATGCCTTTTTTTAAGAAACTCAGAGCAGAGTGGTAGTTCACAGGAGCACTGTTCAGATATATGCAAGTAATTTCCATCCATATTTAAGATGGTTCTCCTATAATGGTTCATATGAGACTCTATAATCTTCAGAGCTTTTTGAGTTTTGGTTGTGTTGGGGTTTTTTTTTAAACTATTAATTGAGTGTTTATGGAAGATCCACCCTTCCTCTAGGCAAAAAGGCACCTTTTTCCCACTCCCCACTGCTCAGAACAGTTGGATCACAAAGAGGGGTGAGTCTGGCATCCTATAGGTTGTTTCCAACCTAGCAACCTTTGCAGTTTTCGGAACAAGCCTGTTAATAGTGACAGTGACTAAAGGAAGATGAAAAAAAAGCAAAGAATACAATACTAAACTGGAAACACACAAAGGATTTCGGTCTGTATGTGTTGGAATGAGATCCCTCTGAGGCTGTTTCTGCCAGCCAAGCTAGACTGACTACTCTGCTGTGCTACATGCACTATATGAAGGCTTACACTAATATGGAAGTGGGCAGCAGCTGTGCCCCTCAATCCCTTAAATTCTCACACAAATGAGGACTACAAGCTCATTCACTCCTAGCTGATCACTGCTGGATAGAAAAGTCTTGATTTCATAGAGTTTGTGTGTCCTATAACTAGGATCTATGGAGACAACAACGCAAAGAGCTGCTCTGGACTCTAGTTTGAATTCTCACATAGAAGATCCACAGGAATTTCCTCAGTCAATTGTCTTCCCAAACAGGAATTCTTGGGTCACAAGAGCAAGAAACTATCTGGATCTTGGTCTCAGGTAAAAGGCAAGAAAATCCAAATCTTTCCTTTTTCCTTCCTTCTGTATTATCAAGCCACTCTCTTACCCCTCTGTGTTCCATCAAACCCTGTCTAAGTGCTGTGATACAACTTGGAGGGAGGAGATGTGGTTGCCAGTTTGAGTGAGTTCCAAGGTTCATTACATCTGAAAAAGGCCATTGACCTACAGGAGATTATGGTTCAGTATTGAATATCTTACCCGGATCTGCGAGTCACTGAGGTCAAGACATCTGCACATTTCCAGGAAAAGCTTCACACCCTCCTCATCTAGGATTATATAGACTGGGATCCAGCGCTTATATGCTGCATCAACAATATCGCGGAAGATGTCTCGGTCTGTAAATACATCCATGACCACTGCAATAATCTGGAAATGAGAAGACAGTAAACAGACAACTTAATAAAATATTAGGAACTGAATGGAAGGCCCATCACACTGCTGCAAAATAAAGGAGAGCACTGACATCAGATTATGGAGAAGGATATAGGGGAGGCAGAAGTACAGGGATGTACATGCCCAAGCACTACCAATAACCTTTCTAATTTTCTGGCTTGCCTCCTGCTGCACTTTAGAAGGAACTTAATAAATGTCTTTGAGAGTTCTCCTT